CCCAGGATCGGGCAGTGTTTCACTCTGCTGTGTATAAGGTCACTGTGGGTTGGTACTGACTTGATGACACCTAACAACAACAACAACAACAGGTAAATAAATAATGACCCATGGATGGTACTTGAAGTTTTAGTCCCACTTCCAACTCCCTTATGCAAGAGTCAAATGCATAAGGAGCTTTGTAGATTCTGTACTCCCTCATTGGACAGCTTTTAAAATACAGAACAGGAATTGTACTGCCACTGTAAGAGTTACAAGATGCAGGCTGTGTGTCCTACAACTCTTCCCTGAAGGCCCAATGAATCCAAATGTACATTAAAATAAATGTAAAGCCTTGCTATTGTTGCTGATGTTGTTAGGTGCCATCAAGTTGATTTCAACTCATAGTGACCCTATGTACAATAGAAGGTAAAATGCTGCCCGGTCGTGCATCACCCTCACAACTCTTATGTTTGAGACCATTGTTGTTTTCACTGTGTCAACCCATCTCAGTGAGAGTCTTCCTCTTTTTCACTGACCCTCCACTTTACCAAGCATGATGTCCTCCAGGGACTGGTCCTTCTTGACACCATGTGCAAAGTCCAAGAGACAAAATCAACTATTCTCAAATTTAAGGACCATTCTGGTTTTACTTCTTTCAAAACAGATTTGTTAGTTCATTCAGCAGTCCATGGGACTTTCAATATTCTTCATCATCTATCACCACAATCCAAATGTATCAATTCTTTTCCAGTATTCCTTATTCATTGCCCAGCTTTTGTATGCATACAAAGTGATTAAAAATAACATCATGGTTTGGGTCAAGTACACCTTAGTCTTCAAATTGACATCTTTGCTTTTTTTTTCTTTTTTTCCCTTTAACACTTTTAGGAGGTCTTTTGCAGTAGATTTGTGTAATGCAATACATCGTTTGATTTCTTGACTGTTGCTTCCCTGAGTGTTGATTTTGATCCAAACAAAATGAAGTTTTTGGTAACTTTGGTCTTTTCTCTGTTTACCATGATATTATTTATTGGTCCATTTGTAAGGATTTTTGTTTTCTTTAGATTGAGGGGCAATCCATACTGAAGATGGTAGTCTTTGATTTTCATCAGTACTTCAAGTCCTCTCTGCTTCTAGCAAGCAAGGTTATATCATCTACATATTGTAGGTTTTTTATGAGTCTTCCTCTAATTGTGATGTAACATTCTTCACATAATCCAGTTTCTCAGGTTATTTACTCACTATTCATAGTGAATAAGATTGGTGAAAGGATGCAACCTGGATGCATACCGTTCCTGATTTTAAACCACTGAATATCTCTTTGTTTGTTTGGTTAGAACAATTGCCTCTTGATCTGTGTACAGGTTCTTCATTGTACAATGACCTGCTCTGGAATCCTATTTTTCACAATGTTCTCCATGGTTTTTTATGACCCACACAGGGATTATAAGCATATTTTAATTGTTTCAAAAATAGAAAAGGATTATAAACATGTAAACATTGTTTGCAGAAGTCTATTCTACAGAATACCTTTAATCATTTAATTATCCCCTTCATGATTATTGATTATTCCATATTCTCATATTACTGTCTTATCTGGGATGATACTATAGTGTTATCTACTTTATAATTTTAACTAACTGACTTAATTCAACTAAAAATGTTTTGGGCAGAACATCTGAAAATGTAAAACCAACTTGTCCCTCTAAGGAGAAAAGCATAAGAGGTGGTATAATAAGACAAAATCCTGTCAGTAATTTTTAGGTAGATACTATTGACTGCCAGATGCTCTAAATTTGAGTCTTCTTTTATCTTCATGAAAAAAGGGAGGTGATTAAGTGTCACAAAGATACTAAAGGCAAGCTAGCACCAGAAAATCGTGATAGCTTTCTTGAAGAAATCAGAGTGAAATAAAATTGAATAGAGAATGTCTTTCTCTTTCTGTAAATTCAGTGTTAATACGTGTGTACTGGAGTCCTGGTGTGGAGCTTAGGTTAATGCATTGGACTGCAAAGTTGGTTCGAACTGCAAGGTCACCAGCTGCTCCTCAGAGACCCTATACAGGGTCACAGTGGGTCAGAAACAACTTGACAGCACATAATGACAACAACAATATGTGTATTGGTGTACAATGACACTTGGTGTTAAATGCTGTGGAGTTGGTTCTAACTCATAGCAACCCTGTGTAGGATTTTCAACAAGTGGCTAGTGAGCTTGAACTGCCGACCTTATGGTTCAAACTGACCTTGCAGTCCAGCATATTAACCTGCAGCACCACACTAGGACTCCTTCAATGGCACTGTTGTTGTTGTTAAATGACATTGAGTTGATACCAACCCATAGCGACCCTGTATAGGGTTTCCAAGGAGCAGCTGGTGAGCTAGGACTACCAACCTTGCAGTTCTAACAACTTTGCAGTCTGGTGCATTAGCCCACAGCGCCACACCAATTTCAATGGCACTACTCTCTCTTAATAACCAGGTTCTCTCATATTGTCCGTCCCCACCCATAAAATGGAATTTGTATGCATAACTCAACTGAGTTAAACAATATATCCTTTCCTATGTATAATACATGTTTCTTAGGAATAATTAACTTGTTCTACATGCATGTCAAATAATGAATTGTAAACAAATCTTTAACTTACCATGTTCATCAAGTAGGATATTGTCAGGCTTCATATCCCTGGTGGAGTCAAAAAGAAAGAGAAGATTGTAAATAATAAATCAATATAGCTAACAAAGGTAAGAACAAAAATGCTCAAAAATTACTATCTAGAGTTGAAGCAATATACTAGCATATCCCAATCTTAGAAAATTCTCACAGTGAATCTTTGAGACAGCCACCATTAATAACTCTGATTTGCAAATCATAAATCTGAGGAATGAGTAGGTTAAGGAACTGAATTTAAGGTCACAGAGCTGATAAATAAAAGAATTGACCTCTGAACCAGGTCTCTTTCATTCAAGAGCAAAGATCTTAAATTTCTATAATACATGATCTATGCAAGTAAGTATAGGTCCATAGAGTCATATGAAATTTTGTTCTAGTGTGCCATTGGTTGGTTCTGACTCATGGGGACCCTGTATATGGTTCCCAATAGTGATTAATGGGTTTGAACTGCTGACCTTGTGGTTACCAGTCCAATGCTTAACCTACAGTGCCAAACCAGGAATCACAGAATTGGATAGGGCATGTCAATATTTAAATTGTTACAAGGTAGTAGTAGTAGTTTTTGCTGTTAGTTGCCTATCAAGTCTATTCTAACTTTTGGCAACCCCATGTGTGCAATGTAGAACAGCTCCAGTGGGTTTCCAAGGCTGTGACCTTTTAGAAACAAATCGCCAGGACTGCCTTCCATGGTGTCTCATAGTGGGTTCGAACTGCTTAAGCATTTGTATCACCATCATATGTACAGATGAAGTGAATGTAAAGACTATAAAACAGGAAAAATATAATATGTATGCATGTCAGAGATTAGACACATTTTTTTAAATGATATTGTCTCTTAATAGATAGTACTCCTGGGGCTGCTAATTAAAGGATTTGGACATGCATTCAAAGCACTGATAACATCTTTAAATCCATAGAAAGAATAAATCCTCTCCTCTTCAAGGAAGGGTAATTTGATGGTGAATGCTTGGTGGAATGGCCTATAGAATTTTCAAAGTCTTTATGAAAAGAATATGTATTATTGTAAGCAGTATTCTTCAATCAGAAAACGACAATGTAGTTTTATAACAGCCATCACTTCTCTCTCAGATTTTTCTGCCCTTCCCTAAAGTACCACTAAAGCCCTTCAAACTAAATTCACAGAAGCCATTAGAGAAGAAATTCTGAAAAAGATTTCAGGAACACATTTTCAGTCTAGCAAAGTAGCTTTTATGTTGCTAGAAAAGTGACCTAGTCTTTGACATACTTAAATTTGTCAGGGTCCTCTTTTCTTCAAAATATTAATGAGTAACAGGTCCCTTTATACAGAAAGAATCAAGTATGTGTCACACATGACACACAGATGCAGGGATAATCTCATGAACTTTCAGTATCTTCTCATTTAGCCAGTTAGGTTTTAAAATTAATTCTGGATTCATAGGGTAAGCATCTGTTTCTGTGGCAATTTTTTTGTGTTTGGTGCAAGGTACAATCTACTAAAAAGATACAGTGTAAGAAAGCATGAAAATACATGTTTATTTTGAGTAAACTTCTCCCCCAAACTTTGATTTATCCCATCAGTTCAGCTATGATGAAGCCCAGAATCACTCCAGTGACAGAGACCCTGACATAATTTGATTCTTGTGCTGAAGCCTGGGAAATCCATAGCATCTTCAGAATACCACCCTCCACCCCATCCTCTCACCATCTCACCTGTGTTCTTTTGTCTGAATCCAACTCCCCTTATTGCTGAGCTCAGACAACACCCATTCATTCCATCCTTCACAGCTCAGATGGTACTGCTGCAGAGAGCCTTTGTGGCTTCACAGTACCTATTCTTCAATCATAACACTTGTTGTGCTTATCTTTATTTATTTATACAACTGGATTGCAAATACCTTAATGTCAGGAATGGTTTCTTGATTACTGTTTGATCACATACAACACACAGTGCCTTTTGTTGCTGTTATTAGGTGCCATCAAGTAGACTCTGATTCACAGTGATCCTATGCATAACAAAAGGAAACACTGCCTGGTCGTGGTCCTATGCCATGGGGCAGCCTCACAATTGCTATGTTTGAGCCCAGTGTCGCTGCCTCTGTGCCAATTCATCTTGTTGGAGGGACTTTCTGTTTTTCACTAATCCTCCTATTTTCTAAGCATAATGCCTTTCTCCAAGGACTAGTTCCTCCTGATAGTATGTCCAAAGTACCTCAAACGAAGTTTTGCCATCCTGGCTTCTAAGAAGCGTTCTGGTTATGCTTCTTCAAGATAGATTTGTTTATTCCTCGAGCATTCCATAGTACCCCCAGTATTCTTTGCAATCACTGTAACTCAAATGCATCGATTTTTTCCAGTCTTCCTTATTCACTTTCTAACTTCCACATACATATGTTGTTGTTAAGTGCTTTCAAGTCAGTTCTGACCCATAGTGACCCTATATAGGGTTTCCAAGGAGTGACCAGTGAGTTTGAACTGCCAACCTTGCGGTCCAGTGCATTATTCTAAAGTGCCACACTAGGACTAATGCATATGAGGCAAATGAAAATATTATTATTGGGGTCAGGCTTACTTTAGTCCTAAAAGTGACATTTTTGCTCTTGAACATTTTACAGAGGTCTTTACATCTGCATCAGCAAGTGTGTCTAATGCAGTGTATCACTTAATTTCTTGATTGCTGCTTTCACGACCATTGATTGTGGAAGCAAGCAAAACGAAGTCTTTGACAATTTTAACCTTTGCTGCATTGATCACTATGTTATTTATTGGTAGGGATTTTTGTTTTCTTTATGTTGAGGTGCAATCCATACAAAGTGTCTGATGTTCAGTAAATGACTGAATGCACCTGGAGAAATGCTATTACAATGTAGAAGGTGAATCCTAACAGCACATCCTAGAGCACTACAGAACCTCATCATACACTCTTTGCAGTTGAAAGCTATCAATAGACCAGCAATCAGGCACTCATCCCCTTCTTCAAATCCACAACCATTACTGCCTCTCCAGGCAAGGAGAGGTCCAGAGAAACTTGGCCCAGAAAGGAAGAGATTTGTGTGTGGCAAGGTCAGTATAATGATTACTTGACCTGAACACATGAGGGTGGTTTTCCTGGAATAAATGAATTCTGTGAATTTGACACTTATGAAGATTCAATTAAATCCCTGAATATCATTTTTTCTTGTTTGTTAAATGAGCCCCTTAATAAGCCCACTACTTTTTCCAAGGACTACCTTGAATATTGAAGTTGGCTGCCAAAAGAGACTTAGAAACTTGCTCTTGATCTTAGAGAAGCAATGTGCATTGTAGAAATGATGAAGTAAAAGAGATGAACACAGGATTTCAAATGGTAACAGATGACAAAGTATTATAGTATCCATGCAAAGACTAAGGTGTGCCTGACCCATGCTGTGGTATTTTCAATAACCTCATATGCATGCGAAAGCTGGACAGTGAATAAGGAAGACCATAGAAGAATTGATGCATTTGAGTTACGGTGTTGGAGGAGAATATTGAAAGTGCCATGGGCTGGCAAAAGAACCAATAGATCCGTTTTGGAAGAAGTGCAGCCAGAGTGCTCCGTAGAGGTCAAGATGGCCAAACTTTGTCTCTCATACTTCAGACATATTGTTAGGAGAGACCAGTCGCTGGTGAAGGATATCATATTTGGCAAGGTGGAGGGTCAGAGAAAAAAAGGAAGTCTCCCAATGAGAGCGATTGGCCAAGTGGCAGCATCGATGGACTCAAGTGTGGCAACAGTAGTGAGGTTGACCCAGGATTAGGCAGTGTTTCATTCTGCTGTGCATAAGTTCGCTATGGGTCAATACCAACTCGATGGCACCTAATAACAACAACAAAAACAATATGCAAATAACTGGAGTTAGAAAACCAAAAGGGAAGAACACATTCAGCATTTCTCAACTTGAAATAACTGAAGAAAAAATTAGGTCTCAACTTGCAATATAGAAGGATTCTGTTTTAAAAAATAATGATATAGGGAGCATCAAAAGAAGATGGAAGGAATACGCTGAGTAACTACCCAAAATAATTTGTCAACACTCAATCATTTCATATGATCATGAACTAAAGATATTGAAGGAAAGAGCCTAGTTTGCACTGAAGGCACTGGCAGAAAACAAGGCTCCAGATACGGCTGAAAATTCCAAGAGAAATATTTCAGTAAACAGATGCAACGATGGAAACATTCACTTGGCTGTACCAAGAAATCTGGAAGACAGCTACCTGGCCAACCTACTGGAAGAGATCAATAATTATTTCCATTACAAAGAAAAGTGATCAAAGAGAATGAGGAAATTATCAAACAGTATCATTAATATTACATGCAAGTAAAAGTTTGCTGAGAATAACTAAAAATAGTTGCAAGTGTACATTGACAGTGAACTACCAGAAATCCAAGCCAAATTAGGACATAAAAGTAGCGATATAATTAATGATGTCAGGTGGATCTTGGTTGAAAGCAGAGAATACCAAAAAGATGTTTACCTGTGTTTTATTGATTATACAATGGCATTAAATTGTGTAGATCATAACAAGATATCGATAATGTTATTGCTGTTGTTAGGTGCCATCAAGTCAGTAGCGACTCATAGTGACCATAAGCACAACAGAACTAAACAATGCCCAGTCCTGGGCCAACCTCACAAGTG